CATAAAGTCACTTATTACGGCTTTAAAGTTACAAATGAAAAGACAAAAGGTTTAGTTAAGCCTTATCAAGTGGAGACTGCTCATTGTTTCTTTGTTTGTTCACTGCTGGTAGTGAACAACAATCTAATTTATTATATGGATTCTTAGTATTAAGCATTACTGAAAAGTCATAATAAAGTATATTATATAGTTCGCATTAGTATAGAATATTACAGTATGATGTATACAGTATATGGATATTATTTGAAATTAAGGCACAAATGATAAGAGAAACCTAGATTCAACAAAGAAACAAATATAAATTAAATCATAACTTGATCTTTGCAGAACTGTTTGTAAATGAAGAATACATCAATTATAGTTACAAGAATACTATCAATGTTAGTACTGTTATCAGCCTTCTATTCCTTTATGGGGAATCTAAAAAGTTGGTAATATTTCTCATTTTAATTAAACTATTTATCATGCCATCTTTTTATATTTAAACATTATTCATCTCTTGAATGAGATTTTTTTTATCAATAAAACTACTCAATCGCCATTTATCTCTTTTAAACATGAATTATGTACGCCAATAAAGTTGATTATAAAATTGTATAACCTATATAGCTTATACATTATACTGTATAGAATATATTTAAACATTTCCTTGAACTAATATTGTGATACAGCGAGAGGGACAACAATGCAGTTAAGAGTTAACAAGATATCATTTCCTTACTATTTTAGTAACATGTTTCTCTCCTGTTTCCTAGTTTAGTATGGTAAAAGAGATCTCTTCCTATATAAGGGAATTTCAATGTTATATATAATATATACAGTATATACTAATATATATTATTGCTATAAAAGAAACATTTCATTTCCAAAAAGTAAAAGGTGCCTTTTCTATTCCATGTAATCTATGCACGTACAATACTAATTTCAGTCTAAAAGTAAATTATTTCAACTCTTTCTATAAACTCAACATTTACGATTATAGGTTTGTAAGCTATTACTCAACAACATGATAATATAATATTCAATAGGAAATGATAAACTAGTAGATTGATAGTTATTCGTTGGATTTAGTAAAACTTTACTCTATATGGTTGTGTTTATAAATATTGAATCTAAATATTTTTCAACAATTATCTAAATTGATTAATATACAGTTAAATAATTATTAATATCCGGTTCTAACCGTCTTAAAATCTTTAAGAACAAAATTCAGAATTCAGATAAACCCAATTATCATCAGATCTATTTCCGGTTTACAAATTCAAATGTACGCCTCTTTTAATCAGGCGTCTAGGTCGTGACGTATCCATGCCGACGATTTTTTATAAGTTTTAATGATGGCTTTCATCCTTTTGGATAACAAAAGATTGCCTATTCGAAAGAGAAAACGATCTTAATTTTTCAAATCAATGCGGTTAATTACTCGAAATTTTAAGAAAGATCATCAAATTAAACTATTTTCACAAATGGATAGAAAACAATTCACGGAAGATTTAATCTTTATATTTGTATTTTTGTAAATAAAAGCCATAATTCATTGTTTACTATAGACTGGTTTTTGGTGTATGCTTTTTACAAATAGCTTATTTATAATAGAAATAGAAAGGTCAAAACAGATTGAAATCATTATAGGACTGAATAGAAAATGTGTTATTCAATAATGAATTCTCAAAAAAAACATTTATACAATACGGGAAATGCAGCTACTAGGAGTTAAAATACTTGGAGAATGGTGTTATGTCTTCTACCTGGAGAGTCTTCAAATTCTGAAATCATCTGTTTTGATGACAGTCACGCACATTGATAAGCAAAGTGAAGAGGAAGAGAAATACGAGGCCAGTATTTATGATAATGGACATAGATGACACTTTCTCCATTAATCATTAATACGTCGTTATTTTCCATTCACATATTTCTGGCTGAATTTTTCGTTTATTTGTAATACAGAAGTTATTACTGAATCTTATAAATCTGTAACTTTGATAATCTCTATTTTCAAATATCAATACAAGTATAATACTCTTTTCCTTCACTAATTCATACTACGATTGAATTAATTACATGAAAATGTTAATATTAATTACTTTTCAATTCATCTGCAAAATAAATTGCATATCAGTAGTTATTATAATTGTTTATAACCAACTATATGCTGGATAATTTAAAATAATAGCTGTTTTATATTATATTGTATTGCCTTTATCATTTTAATTAAAAATGAAATATTTTGTCATTAGTTATTTCTTATTTCAATAAATAAGTTAATGGAAGAAGAGAATGCAAGGAGGGGAGAAGAACAGATACAGACAGGCAGAGAGAGAGAGACAGAGAGAGAGACAGAGATGGAGAAAGAAAGAAAGAGAAAGAGAGAGAGAGTGCAAGTGAGAGCAATAGAATAACTATTATTTCTATTTTTCTATAGGTTTCTTTCGTTAAAATATGTCACATTACGGTAAACATTTGGGAGTTTTATTCATAAATAATAAAGTATTCTAAGGATTAATTACATTAAATTTGATGCATTTCACCCCTTTTCCGGTTTTTTAGCTTAATACTTTAATTAAAAATTATTGTTGAAGAGAGAAGGAAGATAAATAAAAACATTTGTTTTCAACTTTGAGAGTTGAAATAAATGAAAAGATGATAAACGGTGTGTATAAACCAATATTTAAATGCAATATATAATATAGGAAGGCAATATATATATATATATATATATACATACATCTATATATAAACAGTATGCAGTATATATATACTGTATATATATATATATATATGTATACTGTATATATAGTAGAAAATAAGATATATCGTAAATTTACACTTGTTTGACACGTATAGTTTGTCATCCGTAGTGAGCGATTGGCCGGAATTCAGAAGGTTTTGTAAGGTTACAAATTGATAAACTATCTTACTGTAGAAGTCTTAGAGGCGTTTGTAATTTACACTTTGCACGACAAGGTGATAGCTAACTTGTTAATTTTTTCAACCTGAAGGGGTATCGATCCTTTCAACTTTTTATAAGTTAAATTTTTTAAAAGCGTCTATTATCCGTTTAAGCATCATCTTTTAAAACGATGGAAAAAATGTAATAAACTGTTTTTATTAAGTAAAGCTAATGGATTACTTGTACAGGTTATGTAATATTAATTACAATTATTAATATTTTATGATTAAATATTAATTTTCGGGTCTCTTTTCATTTCTATTCTAATATCCATACAAATCAACTAGCAAACAATGTTTCTCCAATATATGTTTAATATGACGTAAAGCTAACATAGCAATATCTACAGATATAAAGTAAATTTATGAAAGAGTTGTCGCTTTAATTAAGAATGAGGTCAACGTGGTCGGTAATTAGAACTAAAGATTACAGAAGGAAAAATGTTAGTATAATAAAACGAAAATAATATAGGTTGAATGAAAGATCGAGATGGAGTGTACGGAAATTAGGTTAAGATATTCCTCCTTGTCCATGTTTTAATTTGTATACTATAATGAAAATTTTAAAGAAAAATCACTATCTTGGACAAGATTAATTTTTTCTGGAATTGAGAAAATATTTTATCACACTTCAGTAAAATCAAGTCAAGATCCATTGAATGATAATGGCCAATGTGGTTAATCTACCAAATAAACACACATACCGGGACAGTAGCTTTCATCTGATTAAGATAATTATTTTAACCTTTTTATTTGTTGGTTCAGAAAGGAAAAACCTATCGAATAGGAAGAACGTTTCAATTTGTAAAAATATCCTATTTCGAATAATAGAGTTGGTAAACATTCAATGTTTAATGCTGTTAAATCAAAGTTATTACACAAAGGATATGAGAGTAATATAAATATAATTTATTTAAATAATTATACAAATATATAAACTATATGCAAAGTCTATATGGGCCTATGCATTTCATATTTCTCAATAAATTATAAAAATGAGGTATGAATTTTTTGGTTAATAAGACAAATGCTTCATACTTTTTTAAATGAATACTTTGTTATTTTGTTTAGTTCTTAAAAAATTAATATCCTTTTTTTTCATATCTGCTTTTAGTCAAGTCTTATTTCCTCCGTCTAATTTTCATCTCTTTCTCTCTTTCCCTCTCTCCTCCCACCTCCCTCCCAACCTTTCTCTCCCTCCCTTTCAATACAATACACAAAATGAAAAATTATTAATAAACAACTTAATAAGAAATATTTAGAAAGTTAGCGAACTGGAAACCTTATGAAATCAGATTCACTAAAAGCAATATTTTTAACCTCAGGCCTTTTTTCCAGATAAAGTAAGTCACCGAATCTCTAAGATTTTTTTATTAATATAAATATGTCTAAAATAAGAATGAAATATGAAAACTGGCTAGAAATCTAGCTTTCCAAAAAAAAAAACAATACCCTTAGAAAGTTTTCTTGGAATTTTTTAAGGCCAAATAATCCATCTAAATTTCTCTTTTTTTATATATAGAAATATATAAATATACTATATATTATGTTTTTAAGTGAAAAAAAAAGAAATTTTATAGCAAGACCTTATAATTTCGTCATTTCCTTAAAAGAATTATCAGTAAGCCTACGAATAGGTATTCATTAAAATTAATAGTAATTTTGTAAATATAAGGTATAAGTTTCATATAAAAACAGTTCGAAAATGAATAAATAAAGATATTAACTTTTTCTTTAGTCTTTAGAAAAAGAGTTTATGTTGTCTTTTTCCACAAATTATTTACAATTGTTATTAATACAATTTCGTATCTGTATTTTTCTTTCCAGCCAACAATTCAAAATATCGAGTTTATTTTGAGACAGAAAATTGCTTTTAATCCGTCTTTCTCATTGTATAAACCTTATGTTCTTGTATGATAAATAAAAATCTATAAATTATCCAACTGATTACGAAATACTGGCTAGAGGCGATAAAATGGTTTTGTTCCGGGACTTTTACTCTCAAAAAATTAGAATTTTCCGTCAATTTAATCTATTTTATTGAGAATTGATGGGTTAAGGCATGGCTGAGGCTAAAATTAATATGTATTTACTTCTTTAAATGGTATTGGAAAGCAAAGAAACAAGCAAAGTTGAAGGAATCTGATATTATTTTATTGAAATCGGGTTCTGTACAAATATAACTTTCCAAATTGTCCGATTATCATTTCTCCTAAAACATAATTAGCTGTAATTGCTGTTGGACCATCAACTGGTTCGCCATCGTTAATTACAGGTACCCATTCTTTACCATCGTACGCCCTCATTAAACCAACTTGATCGTATAATTTATCGATTATTATGAAATAATTAGCGGCATGATAAGGACAAATGTGGTATGGTGAAGCAAGAGATGTTTGCCAGCAGGATAAAGACTCTCCATTTACATTCATTTTAATAATTTTTCTTTCTTCTTCGAATAAAAGTAAAAAGGTTCTCTGTTCTGACCCTTCGGCCAATGCACAGGGTAGAGGTTTCATTTTAAGGTTTAATTTTACAGCAAATATCCAGTCGAAAGCCAGTAAAGCTTCTAGACCGTGGTCAATAATTATTAAATAACCGTCTTGGATAACTGTCATTCTGGTTGGACACGACTTTTGATCGTTGTCTTCTGCTTCAATACCATGCACTATGCACGTATCGTCGTTTAAATTTATTTCCATTATTGCACCTTCTTGTTGATCGGTAGCATATAGAATTGGTTCCATATCCCAATGTAAACCGATCGATGTCGGACTTCCGACATAGACTATTGTTGAGCTTCCTGTGTAAGGATCAACCATAAGTACATCGCCTCGGTTTGTATTAGGCACACCTCTTACTACAAAAAGTCGATCGAAGTAGCGCTTGACGTCAACAATAACAGCCGGAAACGGAAGTTCGTCGTTTTCAGGATCGAAAGTGACGGTTAACTCACGTTCGTAGGCTATGGATAATGGACTTCTTTCATAGTCGGTTAAAGAAGAAAAGGTTGTAGGCCTACTTAGCGACGAAGCTGTTGGATTTAGAATACTCTCGACTAAATCTTCAGAGTAAGTTGAAAGTGTAGTTGTAGTTGGGCGGCTCGTAAATTTTTCCGTAACTTCAATATCACTTTCTAGCTTTTCACTATGTTTGTCCTGATTAGTTTCAGGATTATCTTCATTCGTTTGGTTTACAGCCTCTGGCTCTTCTCCTTCTCTTTTACAATTATGTATCAATTCTTTCGCGTCATTTAACGCTACAAGCTCGTCTGTAAGATTGTAATTCTTTTCATTATCTTCTTTACTCGACGATTTATCAAAGATATTTATCGTTGAAAAAGTAGTAACAGGTTTAGTAATCATTTTATCAGTTAATTCTTCATCAGTCTCTATTTCTTTTATTATAGAATTAGAAAGTTTACTATCTGTAGAATCATTCGTATTGCAGTTCGACTTGAATTTAGCACCACATTGTTTCTCAGTGTCATCTAGAGACACATAATCATCAAAATTAGGTGATTTTAAGCTTTCCGTAAATATCCTCTCTCCTTCTTCCTTTAATTTGGGATATTTTTAAATTTTTTGTTTTAAATGAATTTTAATTAAAAATTACTTTAAACTCAGCTTTTAAAAAATTACTACTCACGCTTTTGTCTTTTTCGGATCGATGAATATCAATACTAGCTTCTCTGTTAAATGATTGATCTTCCGCGAAAATGTGCTTACCGCCTTTTCTGCACGTTAATTGAAACTTTGACAAGCACAATATGCAAACGCTTTTCGTACATTTTGTACAAGTTAAAGTAGGCTTTGGGTGACTTTTTTCCTCTGATTCTTCAGTTTGAAAAGAGCATTTATGTTCAGTTTTCTTTTCAGTCTTCCTGACCGAAGGTAGTCTGTAATTTGACGTTGCTTTCCCTTTCCTTACAGTATCCACCAATTTCAGCATTGTTAAATTGAGCGATAATTTTTCAGCTCCGAACTTTACCTTGGTCTCCCGACTACATATTGGACACTCTATTATTTTCTTCCTTTCATCGTTTACCTTTTTTTCCAGACTGCTGGCGCATTTCCTGCAAAAAGTATGACAGCAGCCAAGGTTGGTAGGTTCTTTGTAAATTTGATGGCAGTATTTGCATACTATAGCCGAATTATCAAAAACTTCTCGAAAGATTGTTTTATTGTCCAGCGGAATAAGACAATTTTTTGTCACTGGATGGACAACGATTGGCTTCTCGTTCTCTTCAGTTTTTATCTTTGAATAAAATTCTGGCGAACCTTGCATAATTGACAGATATTTCCTTAGTTTTAGTTACTGTGTTGCTAAGTTCGTCTAGTCAATAGTGACAATGAGTTAATCCCGTAGACTTGTTGCCTATTTATTCAATAAACTCTTTCTATTCAAAAAGTTTCGATTCGTGTGTATTTGGCCTATTATTGCAACTGTTGAATTGTTTAGATATATCGCCTATTGGATCTATTGAATAAATAAGCTCTTGAGAAATTTCTACGCAATAATAATAACGAAAACAAATATGAATATTAATTTATTTTTAATATTTAATGAACTTGTTAAGTGACTATCTTGAAAATATGTATTAACAATTTAAGAGTTGAGAATTTTATCGAAGGAGACTAGCTTGAATAAATAATATACCATCAATTTTAATGTCATTTGAATTCCCTACTGATTCTTCAATGAAGCCTATTTTTCAGTTATTTAGGTCTTGAATTAAATCGTTTTCATTCTCTTTCGTTCCTTCTATAAATATTTCCATCTTTTCCGTTCGTTCATTCTTTTACTCACCCTATCATTTACATTTTCTGTCTATCTGTCTCTCCTTCCTTCGAACCGTTTCCTTATTTTTTTATAATCTGTATATATATATATATGTATTCTGCCACCTTAGAATTGTGTTATTTCAAGGAAAAAGTTGCTAGGATAAAGAAAATATAATCCAAGAAATGGGACAGATAGTGATGGAAATGGAAAGAGAATAGATAGAATAAAAACCAGAAACTTAAATATGCTAATTCATCTAATTCTTTAAACAAGTAAATTTGTCTTCCTAGAATAAGTCTTTTTGAGAAATGGTAAAATGGTTAGTTACCTTAAAAAGACAGAAGCATTAAACGCTTGTTAAACTATACCAGTTTTTGTAAAACAATTGTATTAATTCACATATTAATATATGCATTATGTGAATTTCTTTTCGAGGAAAAATAGCTTTCCCTCCAATGGAATACTGTATGTGATACAAGTTTAGCTTAAATGCTACTGTCGTTTGCTTCCAAATACAATAGTAAATATCAAGCTACTTCGGCTATATGAAGTTATTATGTTTAGGCTCATTTACTAAAGATAATTAGGTAATGGAATTGACACCTACGCTAAAGGCCTCTTTTAATGGCCCATAGGCCTAAAAAAGCTTAAAGGTAAATAAAATTTTGGCTGAACAATAAAGTGAAGCTATTGAATAATGTAACAGAATTTGTAAATTATTCATTTTGTCATAAAGAAGATTTTCAACTAGATTTATGCAGACAGAGTGAAAAAGTGTGAATAATCGTACTTGACATAGACTTCCTAACTAATGTATCATTGAGTCAGTATACATTTAAATTTTTGGGACAATTTTCCACTGTTTATTCAAAACATGCAAACTATGTTCATAAAACACTTATTTCGTATGATATAGAGGATTATTTACAAACCGAGGATGCTTTATGAAAAGTCTTTTATATCAATATGAAAATTGATTGTTTTATAACATAATCATTTAATAGAAAAAACAAAATTATAAAAGAATAAAATCTAGATAATAAATTTAATTTTCCAAAAAATTGCTTAAGGTGCATCCTGCATCGTGACAAGCGTAGGCAGCTTTCTTAGAGGGCAATAGCAAATAAAAACAATACAAAATTCTACACAATTTCTTAATGATAGCGTGAACAAATATTTTTTATTATATATATCTTAAAATTTAGTTTATCTTTTAAAACTTCAAATTACAGCTAAAGGAAAATACATTGTAATTTTATACTTTTTATGATAAGTATATGCTATGTCTACAGTATACAGCAATAATATACAGTATATATATATACAGTATATATATATATTTTAGCTAAATTATCTCTTTTGTTCTATCTTCTTCAACTGCTGTTGTATGTATAATAATATTTATATATAGAATATACTATGCAAAAAATTCCTTTCTTAAGATGAACACTTAAAATTTGGACAAAATAATTCCTGGACGGATGTAACCGTGGCACAAATGTGTCAGCAATAATCGGATCTGTAATGATGAACGGTACAGATCAGATGTTTGCTTCACTGCTAAAGATTGTTTATATCGATTAATTCTTTATATATTACTTAAGAAAACGCATGTAAATCTTATTGAGAAAAGCTTAACTATAGTAAAGAAAAGTATTTATGTACATTAAACTATAGTCAAACGTAAAAAAGGAAGAAAACCTAAAGTTTCATTGAGATAGTAATGTTTGAAATAAGATGCAATACTAACACTTTTTAAAAGAAATAATAGAAAACCAGACTAAGGATATTTAGTTATACATCAGTATTAATATTTCTTATACCATTATATTGTATACAAGCAATATATTATATATATATATATATATGTATACAGTATATATATTAATGCAATACGTACAGACAAGAATATATATAAGGATATTAAATATGTATAATTATTATATTATTACTCGTTTTCTTTATTTCAATTTATCAATTTTAATATATATATTTTCATCGATCAGTATAAACTTTTCTTGATTTAATCTCTTTCTCTACCTAAACTGATTTCAGAGATAAATTGAGGGATGTACCATAAAAAAAGTTATTCCTTTTCTTTTTAGCATTTATTCTTTTTTTCTCTCATTCTCTTCTTTACGTTTCCTTTCTGGTCTTTTCTTTGGCCTTTCTATCTGTTTCTGTTTCTCTGTTTCTCTGTCTCTCTCTCTCGCTCTCTCTCAAACCTGCTCTCTTTTTTTTCGCTTTCGCCTCCTCTCCTTTACTGCCAGTATCTCTTTATCTCCATCAAATACCAGATGTTTTGTTAATTTATTAGTTTCTACAAAGATCAAAATTTCGTCTGATTAATGTTATAAGATTAGTGCAGAAATTTCCTGTTTCTTATCGTATTATTTATTCTTAAAATTAACATTAAAACTATTTTGTGAAAACATAATTTTCTGTTCTGTTTCTTATCTGAGAGTCTTCAATTTATATATGTATATATATACTGTATATTGGCAAGGGAAATTATTCATAACCATGTATATATAGACTGTATAGTCCTTGTGAGAAAAAATATGTCATGTCTGCAAAACAAGTAACGCTGACCAATTGTCTTAATGAAAACAAAAGCAAAGGAACTTTAAAAGTTTACAAAGATTCTAGTATTCGAATGCAAATAGAAAAGATGAAGACAAAAATACTGTTAAAGCCTAAAAATGGGCTAAAAAAATAAAAGAAAGATTGGCTTCTATTTTTAGACAATTATTAATATTGTATGTATTCAATAGAGTAACAATTTGTTATTCACAGGATATATCCATAAAGCCTTGTTGAAACTAGCATTTGGTGAAAAGATGTAAAGATAAGGCATATTTACGTTATACGCATGCATAATTAGGCAGAGAAAATCCTTCGAAAATATATTTACGCACCGCCACCCAATTGGGACGTCTAAATAATGGCTAAGGAACAAAAGAAACGAAAACTGCATTAGACGCTCATCCGACCGTTTATAATCAGAACTGTTTCAATTTTTACTCTCAAATAGTCAAATATTATCTAAATTATTTTAAGATGGTTATCAATTAACTTTGTTGTTTTTTTAACTTTTCACTTACTAACCTGCATTGTTTAAAGAGGAAACAAGTCAATTCACTTTATATCACAAGCTGTGTTGTTTTTTTTTCTTCTATATTGAGATTTCACAGGGAAAGTAAAAGACAAAGAAGAAGACAAGAAGTAATGATAAAAATGATGAATCGACACATTTAAAGATTTTACTCAAAGTTAAGGCAAATGGAGGAAAGCAAGCTTATCCGTGTAAAAAGTTATTATCAATCGAAACTTCATTAAAAGAGTTCTTGTTGTCTTTCTCCTACTCTGCCTAGTACAGCATAAAGAGATTATGGCTTCTCATAAAGACTCATAAACAAGACAATGAATTTGTTTTGCAGCAAAAAATGGCCAGTATATCGTTTAGTTTACTGAAAGGCTAGTAAAGTTACTTATAAGTTACATATAATGAAAAAATTTCTTCTAAAATAGGAGAATAATAATTAGTAAGACAGTCAGCTAACAAAATCACGCCCTTGTCCTAGATTTTGTACTAATATACTCTTTCTCTTCGAGTCAAATATCATATTACTTTATCCTTGGTGACATTTTCATACAGTCCAAAAAAGAATACCTAAGAAAAGCGTATATTTGAAGTAATATACAATATACTGTACATAAATTTTATGTATATATTATCTACATTTTTGTAAATACATGCTGTATATTCATGCTGTACATTTTTAAGTATATCTAAAATTTAAAGGGTTTACAGCTTATGTGAATGCAGCATAAGGTATATAGAGAAAAAGAAATTCTAGAAGGAGAAGGGAAACTGAGTAAATTAATGTCTAAGCATAGTTAAATACAGTATAAACGTAGGTATGTAGTAGCAACCGCTCATCTTGTTTACCTATTACAGCCAAAAAAATATTCAGAACTATACATTCTTTATTTTCTACACTTGATTCTATTTTTGTAGGCAAATCGGAGAAGGCTCTTTTTATTTTCACGGTAAACAAAAAATACTAATATCATAAATGAAGTATTATTTCTAGGAAACTAAAAGGTTCATTTAAGGCCTTATGTCTCGTATCTAATACAGTTTTACTACAACTCCTTAATGATCGTTTAGCGTCCATAATTATAAAAAAAAATAGACGGAAGAAAGAGGGAAGAAAAAGTAAATGAGGATGAAAAAGCAAGTAAATAATGATTGATAAGAAAAGAAAGAAATTATATAATAAAAATGATAGGATAGATATAAAGAAAGGAATTTAAACTAAAACAAAACAAAAACAAATAAATAATTTTTCTTATCCAATTTCCTGTTCTCTTATCTTATCAAGAGAAAAGAATTTTTATGAAGAGTAGAAAAATATGTTTACTAAGAAACAAGAAAGGAAAGAAGACAGTGTGTAATATATATATTTTTATATTTATATATATTTTGATAGAGCTAATGAAGATAAATTAGTAAACAGAATTAAAAGATAATTACGAAATTGTATGTAAACTATCCTCAGATTTTCTCTCCTTCTATCCGTCTATCTGTCTTTTTCTCTTGTTTTCCTCTAACTTTTTTCTATTTTTTGGCATATTTTTTCATTTCTCTTTAGTTTTATTCATGCTATTTTATTTTTCGCCTTTGCTTTTGAAATGAATTGAGAAAAAAGGGAAACATTTACTC